GGAGGTGGGGGAACCCCGCTTCTGTCCACTTCCAGTAGGAGGGGCACAGTCTCGAGGCTTGGGGGCTAGAGGCAGAGCCGGCCTTGCTGGTCCTTCCTGGGGGTTGAAGCAGCCGTTCTCCTGGGGGTGGGGTGGGGGGAGGCTGCTTCTGACTGGCCACCTCCGCCCTTCTTCCAGTGGACATCATGGAGATCAAGGAGATCCGGCCCGGGAGGAGCTCCAAGGACTTCGAGCGAGCCAAGGCTGTGCGGCAGAGGGAGGACTGCTGCTTCACCATCTTCTACGGCTCCCAGTTCGTGCTCAGCACCCTGAGCCTGGCAGGTGGGTGTGCGCCTCGCACTGTGTTCTTGCCTGCATCCTCCTGGCTCAGGGTGTCCTCTTCCCACCAGCCCGTGTTTGGGGCTTCAAGGCTCTGGATCCTAGCTCCACTACTTCCTAGCTGTGCACCTTTGGGTGAGGCCCTTAACGCCTCTGAACTGCGGGTCCCTCTACTACGGGGTGGGGTGGAGGATGCTGGGAAACCTACAGTGGATGGCCTGGCTCCTGGGAAAACTTGCAGACTCGATTTTGGGAGCTTTCGGCCTATCGGCCAGGTCCAGGGGTGTGTGGAGGTGTGAGTGTAGCCCACCTTCCTCCCTCCCGCAGCACAGAGACTCAGAGGAGTGTCCCTCAGTCTCACATCGCACACACATGCACAAGTATGCATGCAGATGCACGCGCACATGCACACTGAGCTGATACCTGTGTCTACACACGTGTGCACACGCATGCACATACAAGCACACAGTGCACAGACACCCATGTGTGCACATGGACACACACTGGGTTGACAACCTGCATGCACACACAGACACACGTGCACAAATACACATGCACACACTGACCTGACAGCTGCATCCGCACACCTGTGTACCCGCAAACACCAGTGTACAAGTGCCACACATGTGCCCCTAGGTTGGAAGCACTCACAACAAACAGCGGCTGGCGCAGAGACTGGAGCAAGCCGATGGTCGTGGAGCTGCGCAGGTCTGGGCAGGGAGTCCTTCTGTGGTGTGTGGGTCGC